GAGATTATGCAATAGTCATTCCATAGAATTTTTTTTCTTCAAAATTATTACTAAAAAAGATTAAATTATAACTTCAGCAGTAATTTCTTAAAAAGTTCAATTAAATCAACATTTTCAAGTTTATTATCTCTTATTAAGTTCAAAAATGTTTTTTTGTTAAGTTTTCAATTGTTGGAATTCTTTAATATAAGGAATTAAAATGAAAAATTGCTGCCATTGCCGTTCTATTATTTTTCCATTTTTATCCTTTTGAAAAGAGTATCCCGTCTCCCAATAATCTCTTTATTGGATTTGCAAAATAAGGGTCTTTATCATAATATATATTCTCTACATTTATAAAGGCTTTCAATAAATCTACTTCTACTATTCCTACACTTATTTTTGAAAAAAAATTTTAAACATATACTCGACTATTTTTTTCATCATCATGTACATGTTTAAAATGGTAAGTATAGTCTTTATGTACTTTAATTCTCTCTTTTGATAGAACCAAATCACCAAATATTGGATAAAATTAGCCTTTTCCAAATTTTGTGTAGTAAGAGAATCTTAAATAAGGAATCAAAATAAGTTTTATTAAAATATATAATATGAAAATAAGCAAAGAAAATAATACTATGTTAATTATCATTTTTTTTTGTAATTTAAATCTTTTTATTAAATAATTTAAATATATCTATATATATATTTAACATTTTTTTTATATATAATAAATTTGTATTTTTATAAAATATATATATATTTAAATTTAAATTTTCTATTAATTATAATTACTGATAAAAATTTTTAATAATTATTTTTTATAAATATCGAATTTAATAAATCACGTAAATAAATATATTACGTTTAGACAATTTTTTATATATATAAATTAATTAAAAATTAAAAAAAATATATTACAATAACGTTTGTATTTCTTTTTTATTTGTTATAGAATTTACTTTATAAATTACATGCATTTAAAACATGTTTCATTTATTTTAATGAAATATAAATTTAATTGGATATTTTTTTTTATAAATATTTAAAGAAAAAAAAAATAGTTTTATTATCTCTATTAATAGTCACTATTATTTGCTCTACAACTAAAAAATAAAAATTTAGAAAAATTTGAAAGAAAAATAAACAGATAATAAATAACTCTGATAATGTATAAATAGCATTAAAATTATGTCCTACTCCAATAGGATTTAAAAAAAGTTTATCGAAAATTGAAATTTATGTTGTTGCTGGAACATGTTAAATTAAAATAAAACTAATAATTTTGAATAACATTTTGTTTTTATTACTTTTACATATACATAAAATCAATTATTAATTTTTTTTTAAATAAAATATCTTTTTTTGTTGTTTTTAAAATAAATAATTTTATTTATTTATAAAATAATATTAAAATATAAATAATTATATATTAAATAAATTTTATTTAATTTATACATAATATTAAATAAATTTTATTAAAAAAATAAAATATGTATTTGGAATTTTTAATTTAAAATTATTAATTTTTATAAAATCTTTTGCTTATTATAATTTCTAAATAATGTTTTTAAAATTCCTATATTTTATATTAAAAATATGTAAACTTTTAAAGTATAAAAAAAACTATCATTAAATAATTTTATCAATTATTTAAATAAATGCAAATAATTAATTTTAATATTTAACTTAATTGTAATTTAATTAATATCATTTATCTTTGAAATATTGTTAAAAAAAATATTATGTTATTAAAAATATTAATAATTTAATTACTTAAATATATATACAACATATTATTAATGATATATAAATAATTTTTATTGCTTATTACATATAGAATTCTGATTTTATATTTTACTAAGTTTATATATAATTTAAGCATCAAATTGAAATACATAATTATTTTTCATCAATTTTTTAAAAATAAAATTAATTTATTTCATTAAAAATATTAAAATTTTATTAATAACTACTCAAAAATTTATATTATAAAGGGATTAATTATTTATTTTTATAGTATTGTAGGAATTTTATTAAAAGTTAAACTTTTAAACAATCATATTATTTAAATTTTTCATTTTTAATATGTTATTCTAAATATTTATCATATAATATAATATAATTATAATTATTTAAGAATAAGTTGAACATTTTTTATTTGATTTCGAGATAAAAAATAAGTCTCAATATTTAAAAAATCCTCTTAAACTATATAATTTATTTAATTTATAAATACAAAAACTTAAAAAAAATTATTTCATATAAAAAACAAAAATTCATTAAAATGCGAATTAACAATTTATTTATTTAAAAAAAAAAAATCTACTAAAAAAGCATTACCCCTAATTTTTTTTCTGCTATATTTCTAGTATTTTATCACAATGTATCTAAGCCTATAATATGTTATAAATTTATTATAATTATATAATTTTTTCCTTATGTATCCTTCTGTAAGCATTTTGTCCATCAATTTAAATTTTTTAAACTATTATCCAAATTTAAAACATTTTAAATATTTTTCTAGTTCATAATTCATGTTCTATCCTTTATATAATTCAATAGTATCATTAATTTGTTTATTTCTTATAATTTATTAGTTTTCTTCTAAAGTATGATTATATAACGTTAATTTTTCTATTTTATTTATTTTTATAGGATTTTCGTGTTTATAACAAGAATCACTTTTAATATTTGAATTAATTTAGTAGTAAAATATGATATGCTTTAAGACTTTATTATGATTTAAAATTAATTCTTTTAAATGTTTCTTTCTATTCATGCTTATATTAAAATAATTAACTTCGTTATATCTTTATTAATTTAATTAGTTTATTTCTCCTATTCATCTATTAATTTGTTAGATTTCCATATTTCTTATTTTTCTTAAATTTATTCTTTTAAATTTTATATTATATGATATCTATATATATTTTAATTTAGGTAAATTTTATTATTCTAATTATTCAATTTTTAAATATAATTTGATTCTTAATTCATAACTAATATGATCTATATATTTTTTCTATATTTTATTTAATATTTTATTTTTTTCCAATTTCTTATATTAGATATTCGCATAAACAAATTTTGAAGTTATAATGGTTACTATAAATATTATATATATAGCCGTGGTGATTTAATTCTTTCTTATAAAAATTCTCTATTAGTTAGTTACTATTTATTTATATTTTATCGTATAACCAAGCTATTTGGTTTATTAGGTACTATTGATAACATTATTTTATTAATGTTTTTTGAATGCTTTTTATTGTACTGAAATCAAATACAGATTTAAAATAATAAAAGATAATTATGTTGATTATGTTAAACTTATTGTATTCTTCCTTCATTTATTAATTTGACTGGTATAATAGATTTCTTTAATTCAATATTTTATATATAATTAATTAATTTCGTTGAACATGTTTGTAGTTGATGATTTACTTTGAAAAAAACTTTATTTTTTATTTATTGATTTAATAATCTTATATTCTGTAAGTTAGTTTGTTTATTCATTTTAATAAAGGGGTTTCTATTATTTTAGAGAAAGTTGATAATATTGTTATGGGTATAAAATTAATTATATCACTTTTTTATTAGTTTTTAATAAGGTATATTTATTTATCTTCCATTATTAAATATTCAAATCTATCTTATTTAATTTTTAACTTTAATAGTAGTTGTTTAATATTATTTAATTAATATTATTATAGTTGATTATTAATTTCTACTTATAATATTTATATTATTTTTTATTATTTTAACTTTTTTTAGAAATTAGAATTTTTCTAAAATTTAGAATTTATTATTTAAAAATTATATAAAATTTTTAATATGATTTTAATATTTATTAAATTTTTTGATAATTTATATATATAAATTATATTATTCATTAAAATTTATATTTTTAAAAATAATTTTATTAATAATTAATTCTATATTTTATCTTATATTATTCTTTATTTTATATATAAATTTCTTTTAAATATTAAATCTTATGTTTCTATTAAAAATCATATTTTTTTACCTATTTACCAATATTTTACTGTTCAATAATTTTAGCTTATTCTTTAAAATATCTGTTTATTTTTAGTTTATTATTTTAATAAATTATTATAAATAAAATATTTAATTTTTTATATAAGTTCTTATTTTTCTTTTTTATTAAAATTTTTATTGACTTAATAATTACAATATTCCTACTTTTTTTTTTATGATTTTTATTTACTACATTTTTAGATTCTAAATTTCCATTATATACATTTTATAAGTTTTTCACTTTCTTTAACTTTAGTATTTTTTTAAACTAATTAATTTATAACTCTTTGAATTTCTTAAATTAATTATCCTCTTACATTTCTATTAATTATTTATTTAGTTTTTATTATAAATTTTAATTTATTTAGATTAGTTTTTATAATTTTAAAATAAATACTAAGTATAATATTTAAAAATTTTATTTATAATATTTTTTACTCTTTAATAATTTATAAGTTAAATTTTATATTATTTTAAATATTTTTTTAATCTTATTTAATAAAGTTTATTAAAAGAATTAATATTTAATTTTTTAATTATTAATATTATTAATAATAGTTATAATATTAAAAAATATGTTTAAAATTAAATAATTTAATTTAAAATTTCTAAATTGAAAATTTTATAAATTTTTGAATTATTAACTAAAAAAATATACTCTTATGTAACTTTCAATTTAATTTTTTATTTTTATTTTTTAATAATAATATAATTACTTATTTATTAATAAATTTAATTTTTTTTTAAATTTAAGTTAAATTAAACTAATTAAATTATTAATTTATTTTAAATTAAATAATTTAAAATTAATTTATTGTTTAAATGTTATTATATTTAATTTTTTTTAATTATTTTGATATTTTACCTATTTATTATAAAAAATATATAAAAACTTATTTTATATATCAGAAATAAAATTATTAATTATTATACTTAAATTATTTAAGAAGATTATATTAATTAAAATTAGAAACAATTAAATTAAAAAATTTAAATAAAAAATTAAAAAAAATAATTAGTTAATTTTAATTTTTAAAATAAAATTCTTTAATAAGTTTAAATAAAATAAAAATATTTAATGTTTATAAATTAAGAATTAATATTTTTATTATTATTATTATTATTATTATTATTATTATTATTATTTTTTATTTAATTTCAACTTAACTTTATTTATTATATTTTTATATTTTTCTTTTTATCTTCTTAATTATTATATATAATTTTATTAATTATTTTTTAATTTATTTATATAATATAATCATATTAATATAAATCTTATGTTTCATTTTATTTTTTTTATTTTATTTAAT